GGAGAGGAGAGAGAGCTGAGCATAAAAGCTAAGCTGTCAAATTATCGGTCGATCTACGTCCCTGCCCTCACCCATGGTCACGAGCTCTGGGTAGACACCGAAAAAACAAGAGCATGAGCAGTGGAAATAGAGCTGCTATTCCTCCACCTCAAAAGGAGCCAGTTGAGGTGTTTCGGGCATCTGAAAATGATGCGTTTTGGGCATGTCCCACAGGGAGGAGGCCCCGAGGCACACTCAGGACATGCTAAAGAGATTACAACTCTCAGCTGGCCTGGGAACGCTTCCCTTGGATAAGCTGGAGAAGGTGGCTGAGAAAAGGGAGGTCTGGGAATTCTTGCTCAGGTGACCAGGTCAGGATAAGAGAAAATAAGAGAAAGTGGATGGATGGATAAAGGACTGAGATGGAGTAACAAATGTTTATTTGCATCATTTAATGGGGTTTATTATAGTAGTATTAAGTATTTATGGGAAATATGTTTAAAGAAAGGAAATGACATCAGGGAATAAAACAACATTGATTCAGATCATCAGAAAATATTTACAAAGAAGGTTTAACATTTGATTCGCCCACAGATCCTGTTTACAGCATTTAAGAATTTATGAAAGCTTCATGTATTTTTAAAGAAGTTTCTCCTGACAGAGAAGAAGTTGGATTTTCAGCAACATGTTTCCCACACCGGGCTTCAGCAGATCAGCTCGCAGAGTCTCCTGGCTCTGTGTGAAATGTCAGGTAAATATCAGGAACATCAGTTTCCACTGACCGTAATACTCCCTCAGAGAGCTGCGTCTCATAAGAGCGGTGATGAAGCGCATGCAGCAAACAGAGCGGGCAACAGCTGGCGGGCAGATATTACAGCGATCTGTTTTCCAGCCCTGAGAGAGGAGAGACTGCTGAGCCGAGATATCACCCACCGGGCAGCCTCGGAGCTGCAGGGTGCCGTGATAAATTATTTGGGTGAAAGTAGTCTGAGCAAACAAATAACCATCGGAGGGATTGCAGTGCGGAAAATAAACAGCTTCATCTCAGGAGATTCCCCACAAATGAACTTTTACTGACATCTTATGGTGAATTGTCGTCACTGCAACCACCTCTAAAATCATCTTTAAATCGTCAGCTGCTGAAATCTTTTCAAGTTAAAGATCACATTTGAAACCATTGCCTAAATCAAGTTTCCAAGTATTAAACTTTAAAGAAGAATCTCTGAAAAAACAATTATTTGAGCTGTAGGAAAGAAAAACAAGAAAAGATAAGTGCAAGTCCCACACAGATGCACTTACTTTCACAGTTTATGATTCTCGTTCACAGATTTATTTAATTTTCATTCAATGTTTGGCACCAACACTGTTCAACTGCAACTATAGTGGCTATTGCTCACATTCAAACTGAAAAACCACCATTTAAAAGGACACTGATGCATGATGAGCAAATAATGTATGCAGGAAAAAGAACTCAAATAAAATCAGGGGAATTTATGGTTTATTTCATCCTTTGCACTGCTAAAAAAATGGATTCTTTAGTGCATGCTGGTCCTGTACCTCTCTACCTTCTCAAAAACAACTAAACAACCAAAAGAAAAATAAGACTAAATAACAAGCTAAATAAAAATAACCTAATCAAAACGCATAAACGTGTATAAATACTTAAACCTTTAACATATTCTAATCATTCAGCTACAAACTCCTACAGCAGCAGCTGCCTTGTTTTTTAAAGCTCTGAGGTGGTTTGAAAACAGACGTGCTGCAGACTCGTGGCGTACTGAAGGTTAAAAACCAAAGTAAAACATGTCAGTTTATGCACACATTACTTTTACGCGACTGTTTCATGCTTTGTCAGGAGACAGAGATCCACCGAGATAACCACTTCTAGCATGAGCTGATAACTCGACAGCTCTAAGCTTTTATTCAAATACCAAGATGACGATGACAAAGGCTTCAAAAAGGTAGTCTTATAGACCAGGGGTGGGGAACTGTCCTGGGCCGGTGTCCTGCTGGTTTTAGATCTCACCCTGGGTCAACACACCTGAATCAAATGATTAGTTCATTAGCAGGCCTCTGGAGAACCTCAGGACATGTTGACGAGGTCATTTAGCCATTTCAACTAGCTGTGTTGGATCAAGGACACATCTAAAACCTGCAGAACACCGGCCCTCAAGCCCAAGAGTTCCTCCACCCATGTTATAGACTGTACATAAAAGGATGGACATAGCCACTATGACATCAAGCACGGGTTTGGAGAAGTTCTATTTTGAACCTCCAGGTGAGTATCACAGTGTTTTCAGACCACGATGATGACAGGAGACAGATCTGAGTGCAATTACCGACGTAACTGCGCTCTCAGACAGGCCGCGGCTGAACGGGACAAACTGGCAGGTGTTCCAAATTAAGGCTGTCCAAATCTCAAGGAGGAAGATGTCGGACCGTTCACAGAGTCGCAGCCCAAAGTAGGTCTGATTGGATGGTCACGGCATTATCACTCATAATCCAAATGGGATTGGTTCTCTCAATTTACAGCACACTATAAGGCTACGTTCACTCTGCAGGTCTTAATGCTCAATTCCGATTTTTTGATCAAATCCGATTTTTTTGTCTGCTCGTTCACACTACAGATAAAATGCGAACGCGCTCTAGTGTGAACGCTCAAAGCGGCCGCATGCGCAAAAGAAGACGTCACACACAACGCGCTCTGTTTAGACCCAGAGCAAACAGTATTGTTTGACTGATGGCCCTTAATATAAAGACTTCGGACTTTACGTTTCCCAATTTTTGCTTTAAGTTATTTTGTTATTTACATAATAATGTAGATAACCTAATAATGATCCTTATTGCTGTTTTAGAGGAGCGCTGCTTCAAAGGATAGTTGTAGATTTCTGTCAGAATCTGCAGATTATACAGTACAAATAAAATGTTCACGTTGTCTTCCCAACAGTTTCACTGGATGGCCAGAAAGCGTTCACGATGTCTTCTCCGGTGCTGATAATTAGCGTCTGTCTTGTGTCAGTGACGTAAAAGACGGATTTAATGCGACTTGACCATCAAACAGCAGTCGCTTTCTGAAACATCGGATATGTATCGGATTCAGTGCCACATATGAAAGTGAACCAGATCGGATTTGAAAATATCGGATTTGTGCCGTTCACACTGTCATACCATGATCGGATATGGGTCGCATAGGGTCAAAAAAATCGGATTTGATGCGCTTTCACCTGCAGTGTGAACGTAGCCTAAGAGGAGAAGTGTTTTTGAAACCTCACATATCTAATATAAACTCTGTGTGAGCTATTATACAGAGCCTGTTGATGTTCATAATGGTCTCTTTGATAAATAATGAATCATACTTGTAAGCACCTTTCAAGCAGGTTGGTGAACTTCAAAGTACTTCACAGATGACTGACAATCCAATAATAGGACATAAGAAGAAGTAATAAAGCAATAAAGCCCTTACCGAACTTCTGTCAAAGGTTATGGTAAGATTGGGTCACATTAGGATCTCCACAGCATCCAATATTAAAGTTTCAACAATGCCATAAAAGAAATGATCATTAGGAGAGGTACTAGTGACGTTCTTATTATAGCCAGCGCTGAAGGGCATTATTGATACTCGGATACTTGGATTTTGAGTGGAGGATCACTTTAGAGTCACTTAAGAGTGACTTACTCTCACAATCTGGGTTTGAGAGGTTAAAGAGTGTTTGTAGGCGATGGGCTTCTGTGCGCTTTGAAAACTTTAACCAAATTAGCTCAAGTCAACAGTCAGCAGGACTCTTCTTATCCTATTATGGTCGGCCCTTCTCCACTGGACATTTGGAATTTGAATATCCACACAGGCTTCACATCACATTATGTAATGCTGTTTGAAGCAAACTGCTGTGTACGCTGTGTCTGACACCAGTATCAGTCTAACACTCCAAACACAATCAGATTATTCTTATTTACATAAAAAATCAGATTAAAACTACAAAACACGCCTCATCTGTTCTCTGTGTGAAGCTAATTAGCAGATATAGTTTCTTATGACCCAGCAGCTCATCAGCAGAATAAATGGGTTTTATTTTTGTCCGTGACATTTAGGAATATTTTTAGAAAGCAGAGGTTGTTACCTTTCCAATAAAGAGTGTGTTTTAAATTTTAAATAAAACCTGGTAAGACTTAGATCATACAAGCTTATAAAACTTGTAAAAGTGTGTGGTATGGCATGTCTCTTCAATGAAAGTGATGCTGTTGGGTGGAAATACACTGTAAAAAAGGGCAGTGAAATTGACATAAAAACCATGTAAAACCCCTACAGAAATGTATAGTAAACCCCAAAACACAACTTTCCTGTTTCGATCACAGTGAATTATTGTAAACCTTTAAACAGAATGTTCCTGTTATATTTACAACATGAATGTGTGATTATAATCAAATTTATTGGTTAAAACTACAAATACTGTGAATAAAAACAGTGAAACACCGTAATACTCATAACCAAACAATCATGTTAATTTGACATGCAAATACTGTAAAAATCACAGTTTTAGTCAGTTTTTCTTAAAAACAGATGACGTATATGTAAGTCACTTTACAACTGCATGGATGTACTGGGCCTACTTTTAACATGATTCATGAAATGATGCAAAGTCATGGATTGGACTAATAAAAATGTTTTCACAGAAGATGTCATTGTGAACCTGAGAGGTTGCCTCTCCATTTATAGGCTATATAAAAATATACAATTAAAATTGTTTACATCATGTTTTTTTCTTAAATCATTTGCAGCCTATTGTAGGGTAACCAATAAGAAATTATTATTTAACGACTAAGTAATGCTTCTGTCATAATGCTTGTATTCTTTATGTTTCTTTTAATTGCAATGTGATACTTAGACTAGAATACTTTTTTGGGTTAGGTCAGCAATGTCTCATTATTACAGGCTAAACAAACTTACAGTGCCTCCCATAGGATCTCTATGGTGCCTCATCTCCACAGAGCTGTAAGCTACTTCAGGCCACTCACAGTTGCACTGAGCGCGCCTAATTTTGAATGTGCATCTGAAGCTCGTCTCTGATTGGATAATGACGTGAGGGCGGGAGGAGAAGAGCGCCTAGTTCACGACTATAGCTAACGAGCCAGCACGAGAGAGAAGACGGGAGAAGAAAACATCGAACTTTCAGCAACTACGTTGTTAGGACAAATTACAAACATACGATTTCAAGTGTTTTTTGAGGATCTGTGTTTGTTCGTCAGAAAGTCTGCACGGTAAGTTCAATATCTTGGCGACGTTTTTTCGAGATAAAAGCACCAGTTGATATTTAGACCAAGGCTCATAACCTAGCGCTAGCATGCTAGTTCAGCTGAAAAGCACAGGCAAACTTTAGAAATACTAAAAATGATCATCTGCGTCTTTTGTAAAAAGGTATTGGTCACATTAAGAGGCTATGTACTACATTGCAGAGTGCATAAGAATGAGCCTTGTTGTATTTTTAAATGTGTTGGTGCCAATTGCAGCCAAACATTCACCACGTACTCTGCTTTCAAGGGGCATTTTTATCGTGTGCACAATGCACCTGCACTTCAAGCTACTCCTAAAGCTCTTGTTGCAGATTTAAAATGTGCAGTTTCATTATGTGCCCGCCATTTTCAAACAGTGAAAGAGCTAGTGTCTCACTTAAATGATCATATTGCAGGGGGCAGGTCTGTGTCATGTCCAGTAAGTGGTTGTAAGCATATGTTTACAAAAAAGTCATCATTTACTTCTGACATGTGTAGGAAGCATAAAGCTTGTTCCCCAGATGGTATTGATGACATGTACAAGGAATCTCGTCCTCAGCCCCCAAATGACAGTACAGAATATTCAGAAAACACACATGAAACCATGGCATCTGCTAGTTCAGCCAGTGATATGCCAGAGAAGGATAGTCATTCTTATCTCAGAAACATGTGTCTCTTTTACCTTAAACAGCTACTCAGCTACTTTGAAGAGAAGGAGGAGTCCATGCTTCTCTGTGTTGAAGATACATGTCTGGCAGATGAGGTACAACTGGAGCAAGTGCCTCTGACACCCACTATTATCATGTGTGGTAAGTCTGTTTCATAGCTCTCTCTCTCTTTTTTTTTTAAGTGCATTTTTTATAGAATGTCATGTGACTGCCGTGTTTATTGATATAACCTGTTAAATAATTTCTTCACAGGACAGTCCTGCTATTCCTCAAGAAGATACATGCTGAGTGTTGATCGGCACCTCGTCAGCACAAACATATCCTCCTTCATTTCTGCACTGTGCCTCATGTTCGGGAGCTACTACAATTTCAACATCCATTATCCATCTGAGCTGGCTTCCACTTTAGAGTTTCTTCAGAGGTGAACAAATATGGCTTTGTTATTTCTTATAACTGAGACTCTGGGATCTGGAGTCTGGCTTTGATGTGGTTCGAGTCCAGGTCTGGCTCTGAGTCTCGGTCGGCTTTGGAGCCGGTTTCAGTTGTTTTTTCTGTTTTTTGTTGTTGTTTTTTTTGTTTGTTTGGTTTTTTTAAATACATTAACAGTCTGAATCTGGGTCCAAGCCTGGCTGAGACTCAGGGCTAGACCAAGCGTCAACTGACGTCTGACTACCTATAACCTTTGCTTTGGATTTTAACAATGCTAAAGTGTGACATATCACTGCAGAAGACACTCGTGAAGGGTGCCAATACTTTTGACCATGCATTGTTCACTTCCCCACAGCATTTTGGTTATACTTTGTCTTGAACGTGGTCATGGCCATGACTGTATATATATGTATATACTTAATTTTTACTTACTTTGTATGTGTATTTTAACTGATCAATTATAAAAATGCTTAATAAACTTTTATATGATTGTTATTCTACAGGTGTTTCTTCTCCATAAACCCAGAAAAAGGAACCAAAGTAGAGAACAAAAACTCAAAGCGTCGTCTCAGTGTGAACCCTCGAGTCCTCACCCTGATTTAGGATCTCGCCGACCACGAGTGGCGCTAAGCCTAAATCTTGACTCTCTGTGGACTGTTAGTTTTACTTTGTTAATTTTGTTCCACAATGTGTACTGGAACCTTTTACTGGTCGAATGCATGAAGCCAATTCATGAAGATGTTCTTTCTTTGTAGGAATGTTCTTTATTTACATAAGAAAAGAAAAAAAACAACATGCTGCTACTGCAGTGTTTCTAGACCACATGTGTAGGTTTGTTTCACCACGTGGTTTTGCTGATGTTTTCTGACCAGGGCCATGGTTGTGGTGACAGCAGGGTGCGTGTTGCGTTGCACGGTGATTATGATCATTTTTGACACAATATGTGTTTTTTGTTTTAAAGTCTTAACAGGTTATTTAACTTTTTCTGGTGGAGGGTCTAACAAATGCTTGTTTCATGAACATGGTTCTTGCTTTGCAGGAATGTTCCACAGCTTTTATAGCCTATATTTTGATTGAATTGTGTAGTTGCTGTGTGCCTTGCATATTGTGTTAGTTGGAAAAATGGATCCATTTGCTGTCATTTTGCTAATGTGGCTGCAAAATAAATTTCCCAAAAGTGATATTTTCCTCTCTTGTGTTTTCTCATGTGTATTTTTGCATGTTTGGGTGTAGGCGTAGCAGTAAGAAATTTGCTGGGTTATGGTTAAAATTTTACATTAAAACATATAATATTCAGCATAGATTTTATGTATAATTTACAGAGCAGCTCCATTTAATATGCACAGTTTCACCGTAGTTCTACCATTTTAAATTAGTTCTTTGTACGATATTTCCCTGTTAATTTTGCAGTTTATGGATCCACAAAAAGCATTTATTACTTGTAAAAGATACAGGAAATAGTGTATTTATATATCACATCTGTGTGAAATTAACTTCTTTTTCCTGTAGATTTAACAGTTTTAATCTGAGATTCATTCACTGTAAATCAATTTACAAGTTGCATCTGTAAAGCGTTTTTACAGGAAGTCCCTGGTAACCCCAGCTGCCAGGGTTTTCCTGTAAAAACCACGTTTTTTTTTTTTTTTTTTTTTTTTTTTTTTGTTTTTTTTTACAGTGTATCTATATTCTTCAAAATTCTTCAAACAGCAGTGGATGTTAATCGAACACTCACCCCCTAAACTTAGATGGGCTGCTGGTGACTACTCAAAAATATTGTGGCCTATAAAGCATCGTCTTTGCATATAAATGTAATGTGGTTCATTTTTTTAGTTAAACAAAAAAGAAACATTTTAATGGCCAGATATACTTTAAAATGTTATCAGCCCAGTGAATTAACGAGGTCCCAGAATGGATCCCTGAGGAACACCTGTAATAGAACAGAAGACATGACCTGAACCATTTAATTAGGATAGCAGCTTTTATTGCATAATGTAATGTTATTTAATATTATATAACTATATTTACAGAAGTGCATTCTTTAGAAAAAGAAACAGGAAACTGGTCTCCCTCATTTAATTTTTAACCACTTTAGTCCCATTTTTTGTGACTTCCGGTTGTTCTACAGGATCATCAGCAGATCAGTATTTAAAATATTATTTAGTCGCCACCAGAGCTGTTTGGCTCCCCTTTATAATACTTTTTTTTTACACTGCTTTACATATCTGTTTTTCCCACAGTGTGCCCATACTGAAGCAGTCATATGGATAAACTGGTTTTGATATATTAAGGCAGTGTGTGTGAGAGACGTTTTGTTGTCTGAACACTTTAAACTAATCCTGCAGTTTATCTCAAACACACCTGCTCCTCTCTACACTCCCAGTTCCCTCCTACTGAAGCTGCCTGACCAGCTCCCTGTCCTCCTCAGAGTTCTCCTCAGGCTTTTCTTTTCCTATGTTTTCTCTGCCGACTTTCCCTTTGGGCTTGAAGGCCACAGAGAGCAGCTCCTTCTGGATCCTCCGCTCCCTCTGCCTCCTCAGCAGAGCCAGGATCTCCTTCCTCTGGTCCCCCATGGCCGCGTACCGCTGCCTCTCCTCCTGCCTCTGCCGGGGATCGGGGACTCTTTGCGGCTCCGGAGCGGGACCGGCGGCGGTGCTGCCGCTGCGCTGCGGCCGAGACACCGGCAGCCTCTGGCGGATATCCGCCGACACCAGCCGCGACTCCAGCGGCGGCAGCAGGGACAGGGAGCTCCACAGCTGCCTGGCGTGGGACACATCCTCCGGGGAGGATCCTTCAAACACGATGAAGAGCAGATCAGTCTCCTCCTGCTCCGGAGGATCCGCCTGAACGGACATTTGAGCCTTCGGGCCAGAAACAGAGAAACAGAGAAACTTTTAATTTAAACAGATAACGGCGCTCTTGTTTACTGTTGTCACCATGGAAATAGACTACGGCAAGCCAGCAGGAGTCAAGATTTTCTTGACGCGCGTAAGCCTTCAAAATAAATTCAAAAGCAGGATTAATGTAATCATTTCAGTCGCTTTTGTCTGTCAGTGCCAACTTTTAGAAGAGGAAAAAACACAGTGACAGCCCATCACTTAATCTCATGGATTTAAGCTTTTATCGAGTAAAATTCACAAAACTGTTTCAGTTGCTGCAGACTAGAGTTGACTGTGCACATAAACCTTCCTGATCACATACAGTAGCCTAATTATTATTATGTTTTGGCGCTCTCTTTTGAGCCATTCTTAATGTTTCTGACCATCTGATAAACAAAAATGTCAATTAAGCTTAATTAAATGAAACCCCAGTTAATAAAACTGGTTAAAAATAGGGCTTGCCAAAGGATGGATATCCAGGAAAAATCCAGGAATTTGTCTTTTTCATAAAGTGGATTTCCTTAAACTATAATCATAATGAAAATAAATGATCTAAATAAATGAATAAGAACTGAAATAGTCTGGCAAGGATTGAATTTGGACTTTCATGAAGCAAAGAAAAAGCAAAGAAAAGTAAAATGATGGCATTATTGAGAAACAGATTTGGACACAATAATCATTTTATTTTAGTTGTTTTGTTTTAAGAACAAAGATGGAGACTTGTTTTTTATGTCTGCACGTCCGGGTCACACTACGATTGCTGTAACCCGTAGTTATTCTCTCCTCGTGACCTTTGACACTTGTCTGGACTACATGACATGTAACTGAGCCATCAGTGCTAAAACTAGCCCAGATGTGTCTGCTATTTAAATTTGAGACACTGTTTAAAACGTCAATAAAACTTAATGATTTGCATGATTTTAAACTGTGTGAATGACCTAAGTTTACACAGAGAAGGGTTTCAGGTGTGGAGCCAGTTTAAAATATTTTATGGACTTTTATTCAGTTTGATCTAATAAGGTGTTTTTAAATTTGTGATTCTCATAAAAGCTTAATCTCGGAGTTTCTGACAAAAAGAGTGGGATGAAAACATTGTTTTTTTTTAAGAAGACGAAACCTGCAGTTCCTCTAATGTCCACTGGAGACTCCTGAGTTCCTGCAGACTCATGTGTTGAAACTTTACAGCAGAAATAAAAATGTTTACTGCCTGAAATAAAACAATTTTGGTCTCTATCTTAACCGATATACAAGGAAGAATGTTTGTATAACTCACCTGCTTAAATTGCATGAAGGTTTAAAGTTTGCATTATTGGGGGCGTGGCCTATCTGTGACATGAAGGAGTTCAAAACCAATGGGTGAAGCAGAGGCGGAGGCAGACATTTGACACACCCGGGCTTCTGAAAAAACAACCCAGGCGTCATAGAGACCATGTCCATCTTTTATGTACAGTCAGTGTAAAAGAAGCCTGTCACGTACAAGAAAATGCAGGTAGAGGAGCAGAGTTTGAGGATCATTTAATAACACTGGTTATTGGTCATGTGTGCAACATACTAATGTGAAGCCAAGTTTCTATACTTTCTATATTGTTAGTTTTAACAGCTTAATTTATGGATTCCCAGTGTGTTGTCGGCACAAAACAAGGAAGTGCTGAAAAATCCTGAAATGTAGGCACTTTCCAGCACCTCTGTGTAATAACCAACTCAATTTTGTTATCACTTTAGCAGATACATGTCATCAAGCTGAGCCAGAACAACCGTGGGCTCTTAATTTGAAGGCAGACTGACTGAACCTCGTTTGATTGGCTGAATGAAGACCTGCTGCTAACTTTGGATAGGAGGTAGGCAGGAGCCCA